TATATATACCGCGGCGCAAAGTACAATAAGATATACATTGTTCCTTATTCAACTAAATTCTCATGCGATGGTTATTTGAGGAGATGAACGCAATCAGACCCAAATTAAAATCTTGTGGATTTGAACCGTGGTCTTACGTGCAAGAAGCAAAAATGCTACCAAATGTTTAGCTAAAAACAGCCAATTAGCGACGTGTATTTACTTGTACATCACTTTCTCTTTATAAAGCTAGAGGAAGATGAAATGTACCAATGGTTCATGGAGGAGACGTGCCAGACACTGAGCAGCAGCGTAGTGAAAGCCAACTGCTTGGAGGCGGAGCGACTTCATCTTGCTTACGTCATCAACCTCACAACAGGAGATATAGAACAAACCTACGTAGTTGTTTACTGCTGTGTTGGAATGTCAGTCATTTAGCGAACACAATCAGGTTTTACCGAGAATTTTCACAGCAAAACGTTAAATTTCTTTATACTGTTTCACCAATAAGGAAAACTATTAATAGTGTCATTACAAATTTGTTTCCGTAACAATTATGGTAGCCACAATAACGCAGGAAACACATTTTGTGTTAAGCTAACACGACCAATAAATCTCCATAAGTGGCTCATGGCATGCGTACGCAAATACGTGTTTGTGGGACATGTGCGTATTCCTGGCTCTTTTTGATTGGTCATTCTTTAGGTTTGACACTCGTGGAAGGTCTGTTGTATATTTCCTATAGAAATTTGTTTCATTCACAATAGAATACAGTACGGTAGTCTTTAATAATGACGACTAATTTTTTTCATGATTCCTGTTTTATGTGTGGATTGAATGATTTGATTTATTGATATTAAATAATTAATTAATGACGGAATCATTAATTTATAGTTGTCTTTATATTTATCTGAATCTGAAATATTAAAAATATTGATTGAAACATTTATTTAATATGTAATAAATTACTGAATTAATGCGGACTACTTATCAGTAAATAGTTGTTATGATTCTTGGATTTAAGTTATTGATTTGTGGATAAATCATTAAATTATTAGAGTAACTTGTACTAGGAAATTGCCAATTGTAGTTCATGATTTTTGTATGAGAATCGGTTTAGATTGAATGATTTAATATGCAATTAGTATAGTTTTATCCCATACAGTACATTATGGTGCTATTTTCATGAATGATTGAATTCTTTAGTCTTATGACTGTACATATTTGTTTACAGCTATCGAGTTTTCTATTAAAATAAGACATACCTAAAAGCAATCTATGGACTACTGTGAGTATGTGACTAGATAAACTATGTCTAGACTGTGTGTGTGTGGGTGTGTGTGAAGTTTTATTGTGTTCCTTGTGTTACAGAAATACCTTTATCAACACAAATATTTGTGAAACACGACTCAAAACTTGTAACAATTTTCATCGATTTTAAACATATACTAGGTATATATCAATCTGAGAAGATTTTGTTAGATTAATAGACATGTATCTATGTGGTATTTCAGTTTTAGATTAGATAGGGTGCCAAATTACTGTACAGTATTTTGTAGGTATACCCGTCTGCATGGGCCACGATATGTATTCTTCTAGTGCTTTATGATCATATCAGTTTTATCGATAGCTAGATATGTTATTATTGTGGCATAAGCTAAATACTATGAACAAAACCAACCTTTTTTAAAGTTAATTAAATTTAATTAAAAAGATGTTGACCGAATTCTAAAGGGATTAGTGTAGTCGTTTTGCCCTACATCAGCGAAATAAGCCTTGTTTTCATAAAATTGCTACAAGCTATCGCCGACAGCTTTGGTGACGCTGATTGGTCTGTCGATTCGGGGAGTCTTCTTGATTGCGTCAGAAACAGCTACACAGTGCAACGACTGCTAGGGAGACACTTACAACTAGCTGTTATGCAATCTGGATAAATCCTTAACCACATAATGATTGACACCTAACTGTTTTTGACAGTCAAAATCATTTATTAAATGTAAAACAATAATTGTAGCATGGTGATGGAAGCAGTTTGGCGCAGCAGAAAAAAAAAAGGTTTGTATATATTTCGCTTGTTTTCTTGTGCAAGGCACTGTTTCCCTCCACACAGCAAGAGACGTGAGAGGCGAGACCTTATTCAAACCTACAGAATAATGACACATATTGATCGGATAGACCCTGATTTGTTTTTTCGAAAGGCTGCTTATCATGGTACTAGAGGACATAAAATGAAAATTGACAAGTCAATATCCCGGCTAGACGTAAGGAAATATTTTAAACAGTCAAAGAGTAGTCGATAGATGGAACAAACTACCGAAGAGTGCCACGGAATTACCAATACTCCTTTGCTTTAAACAGAATTTTGTTAAACTGGGTTATTAACGGGCATAATAATGCCTCCCTTAACCCCGCCACATTTCTTACTCTTATGTACTTCTATGAAGAAGATGATGAAGTGTGGTATCAAGGTATGTTCAAGGTATATTCAGGGTATAAATGGGTAACTTGTGGAGATGCCTGCTTCCACGCAGACTACATCAGCAAACACTTAATCATGTAGACACAATGCACTCTTGAAAAAAATTCTTTCATATTTGAGAAGAATGGCGCTAGACAAATAAACAAAAAATTAAAATAAAAACAAAGCACTTATCGTGTAGCAAATCCTTTAAAAACTGAGAAATTTTTAAGCTCCTGACCGGTAATAGACTAATGTATAAAAAGAATAGTATTGTTAAATATTAAAATATCTCATGGTTTTAGTCGTGGGTGTTAGACCAGACAACAGCTGTATATATTTACTTATTTGTTTTTTAGATCAGAAATTCCGTCATTACAAACATTGACTTCAACGAAACGTGATATGATATTTTATTAGATTTCCTTTTAAATCGATATTGAACAATAATTATATTGATATGATGATACTGAACTAAAAATATCAATTATTCTATGCCAACTTATTGTAGAGTCCAGATAAAAGGTGAAATATTTTTCTTTACTGCACAATAAGTCATTTGTTGTAAGTCTATTTGTATTTTTGTTTCCAACGAAATCAAGCAGATGTTTGAATGTACAAAATGTGTTGATAAAGCAGACATATTCTGTATTGATTTAATTTGTTTATAATCGCCATGTATATCATAACATGGCGATTCCTAATAGTTTTTAATTAAAACTTCGCTCAGCCTTTTTGAATTGTGCGTGGTATTTTAATATCTTAAGTGAACTACATGGTATTTGTATAGTTTGAAATTTTGATTGCGATGACATTCGTTTGCTATAGCATATGTTGCCCGATTTCAACAAAGGCTGGATATATATTCATTCAAAACTTGCAACAACTACAATAATAGGCTCTCTTCGCTCACGACCTTGCCATCTACTTGTCACCACTGTAAGTATGAAATTCTGAATCCGCTCCTGGAACAGAACCTGTACGAAAGTCAGGATAAACTCTAGATCCGTGCCTGTTTCTATGCCCTTCAGTACTGTGATGATGCCATTCAAGACTGTGTGACATGTAGGCCTAATTTTGTTTTTTGTATAAGGAGGCCTAACATACACAATTCAATTCTGTAATATGTTTCTCTGAACATATTTAATTTACTTTTTTTTAGATACGGAAAATAATAATTTTGAAAACCTTGTCTACCCATTGGTAATTTACCGCAACCGAGCTTAATACTGTATAATCTAAAGCAGTAAGATGAAACACATTAGGCGTTGTATTCTTATTCTGCTGGTGTGTTTTAACTTCGCAACTTACGCAAAAATAGTAGCAGCGGCAGCCGCAGCGGAAGCGACAGCGGTAGCAGCAGCAGCAGCAGCGGAGGCAGAAGAAATATCATTGGAAGATGCAGAAGAGTTAATAGCGGAGATAACAGAAGATGCAGACGTAGGGAACGAACAAATTGAGGAGGAATTCGTAATGCCATCAAATCAGACAAAATGCAGTGCCGAAGCAATCACACCATTGAATACGGAACAGAGAAGAACTTTGGTAAAAAGTTATATTCAGTTCATCATTTAAAACACATTTTGGTATAAACACGTGCAGCAAACAATTTTCATTTTCAGATTATTGTAGGTAGGGAACATTTTTGTTTAGAAGTTATTCTTTGTCCGCCCTCAAACTTGTGAATAATAATAATAGTAATAATAATAATAATAATAAATACTTTCCCCATTCAATCAAATAATAAAACTACCGAGTAGGGCCACCGAGAGCAGCCCTGGGCTTCAGGGCAACACAGCTTGGACCTCATTGGTGGGAGTCTGGATGCCGGCAAAGGCCACAGCGGGGTCTAAATGCAAAGCCCCCAAATTTACGACGTTTTATATATTATTTAGATGATATTACAAACATAGAGAGATTTTGAGAAAAATGCATATTTTATTGTGTCGCGCGCCCTGGGCAGACCCAAATTATCCGCGCTAGTGCTATCTGAACGCAAGCACACTTTTTAATATAGAACAGATTTTTCAAGACTACCAACCTTTAAAAAAAAAAAAAACTATCACGACTCGGTGTGCCACGGAATTGGTTCCTCACATGCTTCTTAGACAAGCAACTCTCTAATATTCATCGACACCCAATTCCAGGCTACCTAAATAATCTGATAAATATCAGTTTCGGTGACAAATAATAGTCGTGATAGTCATGATGACGTCACCAAACCTGATTAGGAGATTCTGATCATATGATTGATGACTGTTGGCGCCAGGATTTTCCCGACGGGGGAGGGGGGTGGTCCCGACAGGGGGGGGCGACGCCTCCACGAGGGGTCAGATTCCCCCGACGAAAGCAAAGTGGGCGTGGTCGAGCTTCGATTAAAAGGTTTCCAAAGTGGTCCTTGGGGCGAAGGCCCGAAAATGTTGACAATTTAGGGGTTTCAAAGGCTTATTTAATCAATTTTAGAGTCTATATGTAAAAGATACATTTTATTTGTCACCGAAACTGATCATTTGTGTACAATCGGTTGCTATCGAACAGTCGATCTCTCACTTTCATTAAACTTTTCATTGACAGGTTGAGCAGGTTGTGGAATAATAATCCTTCATAATAGTCTTGTTGACTCAAACGTAGCATTAAGTGTGACTCCTTTTATGTTTACTTTGTTATTTTTTTTATGTGTTCTATCTTTCCGTTCTCTTTCTACTATTTCTGTCTATTTGGTTTCTATTTAAATCATTCAAAACTTCTTTCAACTTTCGGAAAAAAAAATGTCGCATGAATTCTAGTTCAACGCCTTTAATATAAAGTCACTTGAAAGCCTAAATTAATTGGAAATTGTATTTTTGTGTTTTAAAGATTTTCACTTTTAGTCCCTGCCCCTGGCCTCACAAAATACTCATGATTTTCACCTCCTCCCATGTTAAAATATGATATACTGTAATACTAAAGTTTGCTTGTATGCTACTGCATATTACTGGAACACATGTGCATTTCACAATTAGGCTTACTTCAATTCAATAGTCCATCATATATCAAAATACAATAGAAATAACTACAATAAAAGGTAAGAACTGGAAAATTATGTTTTTAGTTTAAGTCTGAATGAGGCCTTTTGCTTGTACATTGAAAGTTATGGTTTGAAAATCCACAGAGCATTTTCATTGAGTACAAAAATTATATACTTCCCAAAGCGCTTGTACAAGGGCGCTGGAAACAATATTAATTAAAAAAATATAACCAGATTAAAGTATTTACATTATCGAATTACATGTATCTTAATTTCCAAATACAAGCAATCAGCATTAATTTACTGAGTTATTAAAAAAAAATGAGGTTCCTGGGTGTAAATTGGTCTAATTGAGGAAAAGGTGGGTATGTATTTTGGAATGGAACTTCGTATCATATATCTACACGATGTATCAGTCGCACAAACTGAAAATCGTCCGTTGCGTCGCGCTTTGTAGTAACAGTTGCACTTCGTAATAAAATGTGTCACACTTTGTAATAGGCTAACTTTCGAACTTCACTCCAACCCCACTAGAACCCACCTTGGGATCTAGTGGGATTAGAGGGTGTCGGGTCCAAATTCAGAAGGGGTCCAATTTGATATTTCTCGTACTTCAGATTATATAATTTTATGTCCGAATTTGGGGATATGACTCTAAATCTACTTGGCCCCCATAACTCAGTCTTTCAGAGCATCCACATAGTATGTAGGAGATCTCGGCTGCAAATCACGAGGGGTCCAATTTGATTTGTTTGACATTTCGTATTATATCATCGTTACGTCGATGGGAATATGTTTCGAATCCCACTGGACCCCATCGATTAGAACTTCCGAACAGTATGTCGGAGGCCTTGGGTTTAAATCCAAAAGAGGTCAAATTTGATTTTCATCTTATTTAGTTTTAAATCATCGTTCCATATATCCACATAACGATGATATAACACAAAATGGGAAATCAAGTTAGACCCCTTCGGGATTTGAACCCGATCCCTCCGACACACCGTTGATGATCTGACCGACCGATATCCCCATCGTTGGAAGTAAAATGATATACTATAATACGCAACACGAGAAATATCAAATTGGACCCCTTCTGGATGTGTACCCGACACCCTCCAATCCCACTAGATCCAGGGGTGTGGTCTAGTGAGATTGGAGCAATTCTGTCGGCGTAAAGATAATATAATACGAAAGAGAAGAAAATCAAATTCGATCCCCTGAGGAGAAGGAAAGTTAACAGAAATCTATAGAATATAGCATGGATCGCGTTTTATTACAAAGTGCGATAAAGTTTATTACAAAGTGAAGACATTTTGAAGATAAATTTCCTCTTTTTCTTTATATATATATTTTTTTTTTGGGGGGGGGGGGAGCACGTGGCCTGTTGAATCCGCCACGGGTTCCAATGATACTCATCAATTGCTATGGCTTCTTTCGTAGGATAAACATAAAGAGAATATTAAAGTTATAGAGAATAATCACGAGGTGTTGAGATGGATGGATGTTAAGAAGCCAGTGGTAAGGCTAACGAGGCAACAGAGAGAGGAAGTGATGGTCTACTTGACGAGTGCGTTCCTGAAAGCCGAATCGCTACCTGATATTGAGAGCGGGCTAAATATATCGAATAGCGAGCTTCGAGAAAAACGACGCTTCGGCCGCCAGTGGGCGAGAATATGCGAGCCTGTTTACAGCTGGGATAACGTGTACTTAACTGTCGATTCAAACGGAACTCTCGTTCAAATTATTCAGGTAATTTGAAATATATTTTATTCCTGTTTATATTAATAACAATAACTTAAATCGGGATTATTCAGACCTAATCAATTGCAAAGAATTTTTGGCTGGGGCTCTGGGAAACCGCGGCGCCAATACGAAACATACCTAAATAAGATATATATTGTCCCTTATCCAACCTACCTCCACGATCAATCCAAACTCTCATGCGAGGGTTTTGAGGAGATCAGACCCCAATTAAAAGCTGGCGGATTTGAACTTAAGCGGAAGAAGCAGAAACGTTAGCAAACGCCTAGCTCAACAGCCAATTAGTGACGTTTATTTACATTGCTTTCTCTTTATAAAGCTGGAGGAGGAGAAAATGTACCAATGGTTCATGGCGGAGACGTGCCAAACAGTGGTCAGCAGTATAGTGATTGCCGCTTGCGTAGAGGTGGAGCGACTTCATCTTGCTTACGTCATCAACCTTACAACAGGAGATATAGAACAAACCTACGTAGCTGTTCACTGCTGTGTTGGAATGTCGATCATATAACGAACACAATCAGGTTTTACCGAGAATTGTTAAAGCAAAATATTAAATTTCTTTATACTGTTTCACCAATAAGGAAAACTATTAATAGTGTCATTACAAATTTGTTTTCTTAACGATTATGGTAGCCACATAACGCACGGAACACAATTTGTGTAAGCTAACACGACAGAATCCAGGATAAATGGCTCATGGTTTGAAACTCGTGGAAGGTTCATTGTACAACTTCCTATAGAAATGTGTTTCATTCACAATAGAATCATAAAGTAGTCTTTAATAATGACGACTAATGGTGTTTATGATTCCTGTACTGTATTATGTGTGGATTGAATGATTTGATTATTGATATTAATGAATTAATGACAGAATCATTAATAAATTGTTGTCTTCATAATTATAATTCATTATATAATTATGTGAATCTGAAATATTTGAAATATTGATTGAAACATTATCTAATATGTAATACGTTACTGAATTTATGCGGACGAATTATTAGTAAATAGTTTTCATGAATTCTTGGATTTAAGTTATTGATTTCAATCATTAAATTATTAGAGCAACTTGTACTAGGAAATTACCAGCTCGGTTTAGATTGATTAATTTAATAAGCAATTAGTATAGTTGTATCCCATACAGTACGCAATTAGTATAGTTTTATCCCATACAGTACATTAGATGGTGCTATTTGCATGAATGATTGAATTCTTCAGTCTTGTGGCTTTATGTATTTTTCACAGCAATTGAGTTTTCTATTAAAATAAGACATACCCAAAAGCAATCTATGGACTACTGTGAGTATGTGACTAGATAGCAATGTTCAGACTGTGTGTGTGTGTGAAGATACGACCGATTGCGTTCCTTGCCGACGAAAAATGCGTTACAGAAAGACCTTTATCAATATTCATTGATTTAAGCATATACCAGGTATATATCAATTTGATGGTTGATTTTTATAGATTATTAGACAAATATCTATGTGGTTCTTTTAGTTTTAGCTTAGACAAGGTATGAAATCACTGTACAGTGTGTAGTTTTACCTGTCTGCATGGGTCAAAAGATGTATTCTTCTAGTGCTTTATGATCTTATCAGTTTTTTCCCTAGCTAAATATGTTATTAATGTAGGCATATGTTGACAAAACCAACTCTTTTTAAAGTTAAGTTTCATTTAAAACATGGCCGGCGCAACCGGGACCCGTGAACTGAATTTTTTTTTTTTTTTTTTTTTTGTTACAATAAGAAAATTAAAATTCGGGAAAGCTCATTTTCTGCCATCTAGGAATCAAAATTTTCTCGGGGGAGGACCCCCGCCCCCCTTTTCTTTTTTAGGGTTCATCTCTTCATGGAAACTTCCCGCCATCTAGGAATCACAATTTTCCTATGTATAAATATGCACACAACAGGCCTATTTACTGTAAAAAGAATGAGAAAGTTTACCTGACCGTTTTTAAGAGGGGAAAAAACCTTGAATTTTGAAGAACTTGAGTCATTAAAAGACACCTAGCTATTATTTTAAAAATTTTATTTGGAACAGACAACATATAGAAGCAAGGTGTATACTCTAGGTGCCTACTGTATTTATAAGTCTAAGATTTTAGACTTTGCTACAAAAAAAAAAATAACATAGATGCCTTAACGTTGTTCAGAAATGAAATACACAGAAATGAACTTTAACTCATGCATCTTGTATTATTGTATTGCAAAAAAAAAAAAATAATAATAATAATAATAATTGACTTTCATAGTGTTCTTTTTTGTTAAATAAGATTTAAATAATTTTTTTAAAAATGAATTGATCACGTCTATAAAATGACGGAACCCTTTTATATACGAAAAGAGAAACATCGTGCTCTGAAAAAAAAATAATAAATGAAAAAAATAATTAAAAAAAATAATAAATAAAAAAGCGCAACAATGATAGTCACATGTCAATTCATGTTGTTACTCTTGGTTATTGGCTTGTACAAATTTGCTAGTATCTGTATTAGTTGTATAATGTAAATGATGAACGCAAGATTGCAGGGACATTGTGCAAATATTGTATCCTTGTAAAATAAAAAATATGAAAAACAATACTGAAATGAATAAAGGTGGTTAACCCACACGAAAGAGAAAAAAAAATAGACACCTAGCTCAATAGTCGGGAAAGCTCATTTCCCGCCATCTAAGAATCAAAAATTTTCCCGGACCCCTAAATTTTTTTTTTGGAAAAAATGTTTACCCCCACCCCTAAATTTGAACCCAGATCTCCCGCCCACTTTGACAAATGTTCCGCCAGCCATGAAAACAATAAGAAAATTAAAATTCGGGAAAGCTCATTTTCTGCCATCTAGGAATCAAAATTTTCTCGGGGGAGGACCCCCGACCCCCTTTTCTTTTTTAGGGTTCATCTCTTCATGGAAACTTCCCGCCATCTAGGAATCACAATTTTCCTATGTATAAATATGCACACAACAGGCCTATTTACTGTAAAAAGAATGAGAAAGTTTACCTGACCGTTTTTAAGAGGGGAAAAAACCTTGAATTTTGAAGAACATGAGTCATTAAAAGACACCTAGCTATTATTTTAAAAATTTTATTTGGAACAGACAACATAGAGAAGCAAGGTGTATACTCTAGGTGCCTACTGTATTTATAAGTCTAAGATTTTAGACTTTGCTACAAAAAAAAAATAACATAGATGCCTTAACGTTGTTCAGAAATGAAATACACAGAAATGAACTTTAACTCATGCATCTTGTATTATTGTATTGCAAAAAAAAAAAAATAATAATAATAATAATAATTGACTTTCATAGTGTTCTTTTTTGTTAAATAAGATTTAAATAATTTTTTTTTAAATGAATTGATCACGTCTATAAAATGACGGAACCCTTTTATATACGAAAAGAGAAACATCGTGCTCTGAAAAAAAAATAATAAATGAAAAAAATAATTAAAAAAAATAATAAATAAAAAAGCGCAACAATGATAGTCACATGTCAATTCATGTTGTTACTCTTGGTTATTGGCTTGTACAAATTTGCTAGTATCTGTATTAGTTGTATAATGTAAATGATGAACGCAAGATTGCAGGGACATTGTGCAAATATTGTATCCTTGTAAAATAAAAAATATGAAAAACAATACTGAAATGAATAAAGGTGGTTAACCCACACGAAAGAGAAAAAAAAATAGACACCTAGCTCAATAGTCGGGAAAGCTCATTTCCCGCCATCTAAGAATCAAAAATTTTCCCGGACCCCTAAATTTTTTTTTTGGAAAAAATGTTTACCCCCACCCCTAAATTTGAACCCAGATCTCCCGCCCACTTTGACAAATGTTCCGCCAGCCATGAAAAAGAAGTTGACCGACTTTTAAAGTGATTAGTATATTCGTTTCGCCATAAATTAGCGAAATTAAGCCTGGTTTCCATAAAATCGCGATAAGGTATCGCCAGGGCTTGAAATTAAAGGTTATTTGGTCGCATTTGCGACCAGATTTTTTAAGATGCGACAAGGTAATTTGATAGCGCGAGTAGATTTTGTAAGCGGCAGGAAGGTGGTTTCCCTCCAAATCCCAATTATTTACAACTTGTACAGCCCATTATTTTCAGTCAGGCAGTACGCAAAACATGTTATCATCACATCTAGATGTGTCATGACCTAGACTGTTAAAGTGTGACGTCGTACACTAAAACCGTGTCGATGTGCGCTCATCTTATTCTTGGTAAATAAGCGATCACCGTCAAAGCGAAGGAGACTGGTATAAAAACATCGGGATTGCTCGATTTTTTACTATTTTATTGAGTGCTACTTTTACCTGTACCTCCTCGTAATTTTGAACGTTTCCTTAACGTATTTGTTCATAAAATAGACTATGTACCGAAATTTCAAACGATCGTATACAGTATTGACTCATACGATGTAAACGGCCCAGATCAAGCAATAATCAAAATAACATTCAGAGGCGAATTTAAAAAGTTTAGATATAAAGTATTTATTAATGTTTTCATAGGTTTGGTTTAACGCCAGTTTGTGTTACTAGCCTATAACTTAATTCACCGTGGATTTGCCAATAACAGGCCCTTAAATGTTTTGCTCTAGCATAGTTACCAACCTGAGAGATTTGAAATGCGTGAGTGACTACACCATTTGGCTGAAGGGGTGGGGGCGGGGTCCAAAGGCGGAGCCAAGCTGGGTCAAGAGGGGGGCGTGGCCCCAGGCGCTCCGACGATCTGAGCATTAAAGCTGTTTAAAACGATTTCAGAGAGTGAGTGTGTCTTGACAATAACGGTGACATAAGCAAAAATATTTTTAGTTTCAATGTAATTGAGCACCCGAATTTACCTAAACACATTTCACTAATAAATTTTTAGTAACGCGTCAATGAAATAAATATTCACATAAATATTAAGTACTCTCTAATGACTCAATTACTGGTACTGGTACTTGTAGCCGTCTTATTTCAGACATTCGGCAGCCATTGACATTATGTTGGCGTTTTAAAGACTGCATATTGTGATGAGGAACCTGTGTACAAAGAATTACCAAACACAAAAAATATGGAAAACTGAATGCTATTTACAAAATATTCTATTTAATGCTTATGGGTGAAACTTTCTTTGATAAATTGGCTTCTATTCAGTTGAATTTTTTCTTCATGATTATTTATATATATTTTTAAATAAAACCAATTTCTTTTAATTTTAAATACATTTCCCCTGAATTCATGATAATTCGTTATCACGCATGGATTTGTGCTAAATGGAATGTAGGTAAGAATGGCCCCGGAAAAAATGGCCCCGGAAAAAATGGCCCCGGAAAAAATGGCCCCGGAAAAAATGGCCCCGGTAAAAATGGCCCCATATGACAGGTAGGTAAAAATGGCCCCAGTGAAAAATTCGGTAATAGAAATGATATATTTTTTTTTAATCTTCACTTCCAATTACGAAATATTTCGCGGAGTAACATCTCAAACCACGTTTGCGCCCCGACTACACCGGCTGGCGAGTAAGGTATGTTGAGTTCATTGCAAGTTGTAAACCAATCAGAATGCTGGGATATTAAATCATTCGGGGCAACTTGCAATGTTTGGGATATGTTACTCCGCGAAACCTTTGTAAACACTAGAAGTGTGACGATGTTCTCTGGCGATTAATAAATGAGGTTTCGAAGTTTGAAGGCGTACCAGTTTTTTTTTTTTTTTTTTTAATAATTCTCAATAAAAACAACCATTGAACAAGAAAATGAAACTATAGATCGTTATATATGTAGGTATAAGATACTTTGCTGAAGTTGTACAGGCCCAGGCCTAAGTTCTAGGCTACATTATAACCTAAATAAGAAGTGTCGCCGGGCGACTGTGTGATGCCAATTTTTCGGGCTTAAAAAGAAGCCTAAATGGCCTCTGACAAGTGGGGAGATGGAATCTCAGCACTCCCGAAATGTTGGTGAAAACTCTGGAACTCTGTTTAGGTTGAAATTACTATGTGTAAATTGATTTAGAGTTATCTCATAAAGAAAACATTCCATCCACGCATATTAGAAATAAGTCTGCCAATTTCCGCGCAAATGCTGCAGTCAAGTCGGCCGGTGGCAATTGTAACCAATGTATAGGCATTCGCAGTGTTAATACGATTCTGCGGACCTATTTTCTCGAAATTTCCTGAACAAATGAAGAAAAATACTGAAAAATTTAAAGAAAGTGTACAGAAAATATAATTAATGTTTCAGTAATAATAATTAATAATTTTATAATCAATATATCAATCCACTTCAGTAACTGCCGATTTTGGCAGTCCATTGACTAGACAGTTTAGCTAGCACATTATTACTGCTCATGTTTTTATTTTTTATATTGTGTATATCTGTTAAATTAACAGAAATTTGTAATTTTCTTAGAAGTATTCCTAACAATTGAAACTTTCCAGGAAATACGTTCCCTTTCCTTCCAGTTAGGTTGAAAATTTTACCTTGCACCTTTTTTCTTTACTATCCCTTTAATATCTATTTTCTTTTTAATATTGTTCCATCATTTTTCTTATTTCATTTTTGATACTTACCTTAAATTAATTAATTAATTGTCATTTTCTTTCCACCATTTTACTTCTTTCTTCTTTTTTTTCCTTCCTTTTGTTATTTCTTATTTATTTTTTTTTTTTTTTTTTGGTTTTTTTTTTCAATTTTTAAAAATCTTCTCTTTTTCTTTCATGTCTTCTTTTTTGCATAATAATCCATGGGGACAGTGTAGGTGTGGGTGGGTGGGCGTTTGTTAGGAAATATAAAGAATAAAATATTGCGCAGCGCTTATTATCTTAGGGGATGCGAAAAGGATGGAGAAATATGTGCTACTAAAAAAATTACTTGTGCTACCAAATTTTTTTTGGGGGTGCCAGAAAATTTTGGCAGTGCTACCAAGAAAAAATGTTAATTTCAAGCCCTGATCGCGGACAGCTTTGGTGACGCTGACTGGTCTGTCGATTCGGGGAGCCTTCTTGATTGCGTCAGAGACAGCTACACAGTGCGACGATTGCTGGGGAGACACTGTTGCGACAGTGTAGACACTTTATGAAATCAGGTTTTATTTAGTACACTTATGATTGGCTGCCACACGGTCTAGATAAATCCATAACCACATAATTATTGTGACACATAACTGTTTTAGACAGTCAAAATAATTTATTTAATGTAAACCAATAATTGCAGTAAGGTGATGAAAGCAGTTTGGCACAGCAGAAGAAGGTTGGCAATTCGCTTGTTTCCTTGTACAAGGTACTGTTTCTCTCTACACAGGGTATAAATGTGTACTTGGTGGAGTTAGACCCACTCCTATGCTGACTACAGCATCACAACTTAGACATGTGGACACACTGTGTCTGGGGAAAAGTGCTTTCATATTTGAGAACTGTGTTAAAAATTAAAAAATAAATAAATAAAAAATACACAATGAAACAATCATATTTCTTAACAGAGTACTTATCATGTAAATAGCAAATTCATTAAAAACTGAGTATTTTTTCATCCAAGTACTTCATTTAATGAAAATATTTACAACTTTTTCTTATAAAAACAATTTGGCAAGAGTGTGTCTTTAATCTTCGAAGATACACAAACTGTGCCAATTTTTTAAGTATCTTTATCTAATTTCAAAAACATTAATTAAAAACTAATCACCTTGATCATTAGGGAGCTAAATATTTCGTAACAGACTAATGGAATAATCAATGTGAAAATTGAAAATATTGTAACAGAAACATTCATTCATTTAATCATACTTCTGTGTATTGAAAGCAATTATCAAATGCAATCACAGATGCAATCTTTGGAACGAGGGAAAGATTTGATATGTTATGTTGGCAACCTAGCGGTAAATTCTTAAGAAATGCTTTTTTCACCCCCTAAAAAAAACGATTGAAACTGTGACAAGTTAGGCTATGAACTGTTACTCTTCACTTCATCTTCTATGTATCAAAAGCAATTATCAATGCGGAAAAGGAAACATAAACATTTGCTATTAGTTGTGTGGGCAATGTTGCGGTAAATTCAAACAGTATGTTATTTCAAAATGATGGAACGAAGATGATCATTTCTAAACCTTCTACTGTCAACTTGTGCACTTCACTTCATCATTAAATTTCAAGAAATCAATACTACCTCTGCCAAATGCATAAACAGTCCTTGGAATTTAGAAAGTATATAGACAAGATCATCTTGATTAGACTATTAGAGTACCATAATATGATATAAAAACGTCTTCAGTATATTTTTTTCACCAGAATTTAATAGCTTTTACTTTTATATTGCTCTTTACAACATTACTTGAAATGTCTTCACCAATTGGATACCTATTAAAAAGAAGAAAATAATGTTTTTCAATACCTAAATGTATTTATTTAAAGATTAGAACTAATAATATATAGAGGGGGCTATACAATATTTACCTTGGTTCAAATCTTACATCCTGTGGATTGTTTGAAATACCAATTCCAAGCTTTAGTCTCTCCATTCCAGACCATGCAATCATGATACCGTTGTCTGTGCAGAGCCTAGGCGGAGGGCAGATCAGTTGATAATCTAGAGCACTGCATGTGGTTTCAAGAGCATTGCGAATGTAAGAATTGCTAGCAACACCGCCAGACGCAACCTAAAAAATTGTTTTAAAAAAAATCATCATAGACTTTCTAAAAATAGAAACAAATATTACATTTACTCTAGGGAGAATTAAAAGTGCATAAAATTTACCACAGACCAATTTGTCAGGCGAATCCAAAGGAGGGCACGTTCCCCTCCACCCCGCACCCTGTCTTGAAACAAATTTTAAAGTCACAATGCATATCGATGTTATGTATTGAAATAAGAGCTGCTCACTTATCTATTCTGAAAGTGTTGTGCCCCACCCGTTTGAAAAATTCTGGATCCGCCCATGTTTATTACAACATCATTCACACTGTACCCCTACCGAATTTTATTCCTGAGTGAAAAGACAGACTAAAGCCATGTACAATCTGGATTAATTTTCACCAGCACAAAGGGTAACACTACCTTAGTCAAATCGTACCGCTGCTATTAGCATGCATAACCATGATTACATTCTGTGAAAAGTTCAGGGATAACATGGTATTAACCACGTACTCAGGAAAATTTAACTCGAGTTACACTGTTAGCACTGGACAATTTTGTTCCTGGTTATTCTTCAGGAACTACAACCACTTTTTAAACATAGTACGCAGCTAGTGTAATTTAATTAATGCAGAGAAGGCAGGCTAATCATGCTAGATATTTATTTTGGTCTCAAGTAACATACCGAGCTTTGGATTATAAAGTTTATGTCACTTACTACAATATATAGAAACATATTTTTTTTAATTTATTGTTTAGTTACTCATACCTACAAAAAAAAAAAAAAACTGTATATTGTTGAACAATGAATATACAAATTGAGTACATATTATAAACAACTTTGGCATGACAGAATTATTTTGAAATAAGATAGGACTATCAAATAATAATATTTCCTGTCATTGAGGGTTGTTGACTGGCATATGCAGAAATCAGTTATTTTACATTTTTAATGCTAATATAAAGGTCATATACTTTCTCAAAGTTCATAAATGCATATAAAATGATATTTATTTTTCTATTTAGTAAAACAGCATACTGTAAATGCTTGAACAGCCGCTGCTTTTGAATAAGCACCGCACCAAACTTGAATTTTTTAGCTAAGCGCCACTCTTGAATAAGCGCCTTGGCGCTTAGTTGAGAGTATATATTACCCTGTGTGTACATTTACGGTACAGTGTGAAAAATATAAATGGGAATTACCTTTACCTTTAATTTCAAAATTTTCATAAAACTAAGATTGAGCAACAAATATCAACATTCCCCACTAAAGAAATTTAACTCAAATAAAGTTTGCATTGTCTAAAGGCCTACAGTTACGAAAATTTCCAATTGTTAAATTTTCAATATCTGCACTATTATTGACAGTGTTCGAAAAAGCTACAATACTCCACAGCCCTTACAGACTTATTTTTAAAACTGAAAAATTCTATTCTGGCAAATCATGCATCCAAGGAACACTGCCTTTATGATACAACTAAAGTAAAATACACAAACTTAATCGAATTTGCCATGCTACGGTTCTTACCAATGTTTGGTTAGACTCAGGAATAAGTCCTGTTTGGTTGCAGAAATTAATAGCACGTATTACACGCGTGCACAGGTGATGCGTGATCTTGTGCTGGACCGAGGCACATATATCCGGAAGATTATCTAGATGCTTGCCACCATCTTTTGTTATGCCTAAGAATGATAAACATCAATTTGTATAAAATTGTATATACATAAAAAAAATACAGGCATTGAAGTTTGAATACTGCTTTCAATGTCAAAAGACATTTATTTTTAAATAAAGATTTTAAAAATAATAAAAATAATAATTATACATTTATGTGATGGTACTAATATTTATCACTATAAATTAAACATTTGAAATACAATAAATTTAACGATTAGGAATAATGAATAATAATTAAATGAATAAATATTGTAAATAATATGTTAACATTTAAATCATTAAAATAGTCTTACCTTGGTGATTTTCATGAACACCAATTAACCAGTGAGCTAGGCTCATTGTACCAGAAAAGCTAAAATCACAACTTCTAGACTTTGGTAGCGATGTTCCTTTCCCCATCAGCAAGCGTATGCTGCCCTCAGTAGCTAGCTTTTCTATAGACTGTCCACCACTCAAACCTTGGCAATGTGGATGGTGTTGAAGTTTTAGCCTCCTAGCCACCTACAATAAACAGTACACATTTCCGAATAACTGTCTGGAATAGAGTCTACTCTCAATTAGAGTGTGTATGTTTTTATTTCATGCTTAATAATGTAGTACAAAAAAGAATAATTAAATAATGAAAGCAACATCAAAGGAATAAAAAACAAGGACATTACAAGAAAAATTTACAAACAAAAGAAAACCATCCAAAAAGGTAAAAAACAACATCAAAAAAGTAGAAAAAAAATAGAGGAAAAGAAAGGCACAGTTTTATACACCAAAAAGCAGAAAAAAACAACCAATCAAATAACCACATGAAAGTGAGAAAATCAAAATCAAACAAAGCAAAGATTCAAAGTCAATGAAAGGTCAGAGGGTGCATTGAAGACCCTTTAAACCTGAATGTGAATTTCCACAGGGGTCAAGAAAAAAAAAAGAAATTTAATTAAATAAAAAATAAACAAGTAAATAAAGTGACAAAAAATATATATAAATAAAAAAATTAAATTACGGGACAGTACTAGTCAACAATTAACAGTGGGAAGATTTACTGTATATAATGGGTGCACAAATGAATACAGGCCTCATAATTTATTAGATAAATCACCATTTTTTTTTTCACGGCTTGCGATTATGACTGAGCCCTATCTGGCAGTTGTAGGAATGGCTCATCAGTCGCAAGAGTAATTTCCAAAACACATTTTTATTGAGTAATATAAGTTTTTTATTAATTTTGCACAAAAACAAGTTGTACCACTGTTCACACTTGGACTTAAATATGGAGTAGGTTTAACCAATCATGGACAAATTCTGTGAAAAATTTAGTGACTAGTTTAGTGTTCGCTCAGGACGATTTTACAGTACACACAAACGCATCTGAGCATATGCGCTATAGTATATCACATCATAATTGTGAGGAAGCCAACTAGAGGTGTGATATTTTGTAGGGTAAATTACATACCTTATCAAAGGCTTCCCCTGGTGCATTATCCAGGGTTTGACCTAACAATAGAAAATCGTCCACTCCTCTAGCAACTGCCAACAAGCAATGTCCACCAGATACTAAAAGTACGAGGAAAGGAAAGTCAACCCTAGAAAAAAATCAATAAGTAAACAATAACAGGAGAGGGAAAATTGTTTTTTTTTTCTTTTTTAATTTGCTTACACCCGAAACAATGCCATGAAATGCTGGCACCTGACCTTACATGAGTTTAGGGCATGTGACCGTCAGTGGAATTAATGAACTAGATGCATGTGATGGTTTAGTGAAATTACATTTATTTTTTTATTTCAACAAAATTCTATGAGGGTGGTTCATCTAGCTGGAGTTGATCATTAGGGACCCTCAATAAATAACCAGAAACAAATGAAACGAAAAAAATTAACTAAATAATAGATGTATAAGAGGATGGCAACTGAATCCAGGATTTCTAGGTTCCTCTGGGTTGTTGGGAGTCCCCAATATGAAGTTCCCACATTCCCACAAGCAAGAAAAAATCTCCAGCATCTTCAGAATCTTTTCATGTATGTCAGTTGGCCATTGGTATCAGGATAAGATGATGTAAGCAAGTTCATTAGACCAGATATCCCTAAAGTTGTTGAACTTTCATTTACTTACCGATTTATAAGCCTCACTGTAAGAGCATGAGCCTGCATGTGATGCACTGGGATGAATGGCAAGTTGGTTTTAGCTATCAACTGCTTTGTGTACTCCAAGCCCACCATAAGACACAGCGCCAGGCCTGGCATTGTTGTTGTAGCAATAGCAGACACATCCTAAAACCAAAACAATTGGATGTGAACATACACATTGACAGATCTGGATCTGGGTAACTAATAGATAAAATGGGTCAGAGTTTCTCTCAGGTTGCCATGAAAGTGAATAGTGATTCATTGACAGAACAAAAATAAGTAACAGTTTTGTCATAAAAAGGCAAGGGCACGACTTTACAGTTATGGAAATGAAGTTTAAGATTAGATTACCTAGCTAACGAGAAAGAGAATTTATTGGTTTATGTTGGCGGTTATGCTTGTCTAGTATGCCAAGCCAGGTATAAGTTATGTTTGTCATGTACAACATTGTGTGAGCTTTTTATGAAGAATAGAATAAAAGCAAAGCCCTTGTTACACACTCTAACACATGTTGTATACTGTACCTTGATGTCTAGATGACTTTGGTCCAATGCTTTCTGCACCACATCATGTATGCATTCACGGTGCAGGGCCTGGGCTAGCGGAGGTATCACCCCTCCATTCCTACATAAAACATAAAATGATAATCATTCAGATCTTAAAAATATAGTGCATTTATGTCATTTCTAATTTGAAAACATACATCATCATGCTTTTCTTAGCTCACATAAACACTTTTAAGCAAGTTTCAAAAAACATTCTTTTATATGACCTCCCCTGAAATTATGATTATTGTCAATTTAATGTCATCATTTAGCTTTTTCATGAAAGAGTAACATACAGTAGGGCTTGCATTACTAATCCCCTCATAAAGCATGTTTTCTACTCTTGTGAAAATGATGAAAATAATGGATGGTCCCTAAGTAAGCAGTCAATAATTATTTTAATATTTAACTAGAGGGCACTCGGAGAGAGCATACCTCTGCCTACATCATAGCTCTCCTCAGTATAAATTTCCCTGGCATAATGTCCCCATAAAAAAAAATAATGAAAAAAAAAAAGTAGACTCTTTGGGATTTGAACCCAGGGCTGGTAGTGTGGAAAACACTCTTCTTACCACTACACCAAATGTTCATGTGAACCCATATAAGCACACACACACACCTCTATACGGCAAACAGTTATACAAGTTTTCAATCATTGTGTCCTTGACCTTTGACCCTGACCCTTCAAAATTCAGTCATTTCCAGATCTCAGGTAAAGGAACATTGTGGCCATGTTTGACAAATTTCTGATAAAAACCGTTTCAAAAAATTATTTTTTGTTGATTGTGACCTTGACATTTAACCCTACCCTTCAATATTCAAATACTGTACTTTCAGATCTTTGGTCATGGAATATTGTGACCAAGTTTGACAAGTTTGTGATTAAAACTATGGGCTGTACACAAATAAATTTTAAATCCTGACCCTTCAAAATTTAATAAGCTCTAGATCTTAGGTACAGGAACATTGTGGCCAAGTTTTGACGAATTTCTGATAAAAACTGTAGGCTGTTCACAAGAAATATGACGACAGTCAAATAAATAGCTAAATAAAAAAACCAGGCGAAAACATAACCTCCTGTCAACTTCGTTGGCGGAGGTAATAATCACTTACCTCACATGAATGTTTTTCTGTGAGCGTAGGCCCTCTCCCAGAACCTCACCATCTTCTGTAACAACTGCTGCTCCTGTTTCATCGCAACTTGTTTCTAGTCCCAATACCACCTTGCGCTTCCTCTGTGTACTAAAGAATGCCACATAATTCTTGTAGCTAATAAAAGGCCTAGATCTCACCAAAATTGTACCTGAGAGGGCAAAGATCACAGATTAAAGTTATTCTATTATTGTACAGATCCTTGTCCATTTTAAACCATCAATGATTCTGACCAAAAAAAATTCCAATAGAATAACTGCTAAACTCGTATGGTAAAACATTAAATTACATTTTTCTAAATTTTTCCCCCGACTGATCATTTGGTGCAAAGGCGATAGTTTTAAAGAAAAGGTTGGGGCCTAAGTTATCCCTCATCGACTCTTAATCGTATACATAGGCCTAGATTGCAGCTTATTTTAGATTTGTAATAACATGTGTAGATGTGTTTCAATTCAAGCAAGTTGTTTCACATTGTTATTTGATACCTCGTCGTATATATCATAAATATATTTTTAGTGTTGTTCTCCTTTTAAAATTAAACTTAAAAAAAAGGAAGAATCCGGAATCACGAGTAATAGTAAGGTATACCTAGAAAGATAATCCCAGCGTGATATTCTTTGAAAAGGGTCACAAGGCAAGCCATACTTACTTAAGCATATCATTGGAACGTACCAATATGTGCCTAGCCCTAGGCCTATGTCACAGACCCCACCGGCCGACTGTACACTGCCTGGAATCCAAGGAATATTGTCACACCGTACCCTACAATTACCTTTAACTCTCAAAAACAAACGTCGGGCCAATTAAACAAAAATCTGACGTCAATATTTTAACTGATCTAAACCGCATCATCATGCCCATGTATAAGAGAGTACAT